CCATTTCACACCGGGGCGCATAGGAAGTGAGGCCCTTTAAGAAAGATACTACCTAGCAAAATCATGTATTGGCAGTATTGGGACTGTCTACCAAGCTACTGTGTTGAAACAGCATATTGGACACTCCTGACCACCCAACATAAAGGGTCGTGGCCTTAATAAATGCTCTAAATAAAAACAGTTTTCTACGCAACTTTTAACAGTGATAGCTTTCAGCACATGCTGCTCTCTGTATCATCAGCAGTGCTTGAGCAATCAGTAAAATCTAGGACAAGTGATTTGTAAGCTGTGGTGTGCTTGGTTAGACATCCCCAGGTTTTGACACATCCGGATCTAACTGTTTCTCATTCCTTGTGTATAACAAGCTGCAGCGTGACTTCCTGAATATGTGTGCATACAAAGAGAGCTTCCACTGCAATATGAGCCCCTTTAATCATTAGTCTGCTTTTCAGACCTTGCTCCTTCTAAAGTTGGGTCTCCTTTTATTCCCAGTTCCTGTGCACATCTACTAGAGTGCTCCCATGCTTTAAGGTTTTTCCTTACATTTGATATGCTAATAAATCTGGTTAAGGAATGATCTGTTCAGGAAAAACTTCATGAAAGTGATGTTCTTGGCATTCTTATTTAAATACCATGCAATTTAATGAGAAAGGCCACCTTCTCTTTTTTGAGCTCAGTCCGGTAAGATTCGTGTTTTTATGACATCTAAGAAAGTGTCTTGAAAACTTAGGCAATGGGTGTACTTAGTGTGGGTGACAAACAGATTAGACGGACAGACACAATGTATATAGCCAAACCTAGAAAAATCAGAGTTTGCTATTACTGGTCTTCTGAAAATGGTAGTTGCCATCCTGTTTGTGGTCTCAGTACATCATAAGCCACTGACCCCAAACAAGCATGCAGCATGTAAAGTTAGAATTCCAATATGCATTTTTGCTACAGGCCAATTACTCCAAAAGTAATTAAGCTACTAGAACACATAGTTATCCAGCATTTTTAGAAAAAGAGGTCAGCAATGGCAGCATTCGTATAGTCAAAAGGTTAAAAAGTAGAGTACAAAGGTTAAAAAGAACAAGTAAATAGAGCAAGACACAGCAGCTAAACTGCACTTTACTGTACACAGGTCATGGATGAATTCTAAATGGTTGCTATTGCTTGGATTACATTTGTAGAAGAAGACAGTCACACTCTGATAACATCGTCCTTATAGGATATGTTCACCTTTGGGAACATGTTACATGTTCCACCCATTTTTAAGGTTCCCATAGCCGCAGATAATATGGGGAGAAGTCTCCCCGTACTATCTCTCTCAAATTTGAACACAGTGGGGCTCCATTCACACCGCCACGTCCTTTAATCACGGACTTCCGTGAATTAATGAACTTCAAGTCCCGGTAGCCTTAGTGGATGTGGGCTTGTAGTTTTCAATGAACTACCATGGCGCCGTGGTCATTCATTGAGGCTTCCTGTTAGAATATCGGCTTGCTCGTACATCCTGTATGGCAAGCAGATATTCTGACAGGTCTGCAGGAGACCTGCATGGCATCAGCGATCTACTGATCGCTGATGCAATGCTTTCCAGTAGACAAAAATAATAAATGCACATTTTTTTACCTGCATAAACATGTGAATTTATTATTTTTTTCTAAAAGGTGAACTTATCCTTAAAAAGCTTTAATGAAAGCTTAGCATAGGCACAGAGGATTGACCTCCTATAACGCATTTCTTGTTACATTACGCTGTTTTTACTTTTATTACAAATCAAAAGCAATGCAATCTTATTTGTGTCACTGACAAAAAAACATTCTCTCTCAAATTCTACATCTCATACAAACATACATCAAGGGCATGACCCTAATACCCTCCAAACACTTCTTGATGCCCTGTGTAGGGAAGGTTTATTTAGTTGATTCATTCAATACACAAATGCTCAAAGAAGCATCAATTACTGTGCACTACACCATATTAAAATAAAAACAGGTTACCAATTGTATTTGACTGCAACCTTTGGATGACTCTGCTCTAATGGTCCCCATTCCCCACTGCCATGGATATACTGGTAAAACTGCAGCAGGGTTTTTTTTACAGGCTTGCAGGTGCATCCAGGACTAAAGCTTCTAAATTATAAATTAAATTGTTCACATTTTAGGAAAAGCCAAATATAAAAATAGTAAAAACATAAACTTCACAATTTGTTACTGAAAAAAAAAGATCATTTGTTGTTCTTATTTGATCCAGTGTAAAGCATAAAATATTTAATAGATGGGTATTGCAGATATTTCATTCACTGCTGTTAAAACACAGAAAAAAATTGTGAAAGAAATATAAAAAAATGATGTTAAAAGATAAGTTTAAGTTTATAACCTCTATTCTTCATTGGAGAGTACAGATACATTTGCTGGTTTTCTCCTGATTTGGCAGTAAACAGTTAATGGGGAATGGCTAGTGATTCCAACGCTACTTATGCATGTATAATATTCAGTACTATGAGCAACACGCAAGAACCAGACGAAGGGGGGGCTTGTGATATGATTTCCAGAGCTACTAACAGGCTGTCTGGAATCCTCCCCTCTTAACAATGTGCACTTGCTCTCACTCGCTGGAGTATTGATTTTCTGCTGCCCGCCTTAGACCCGGACTGCAGTTTAAGCCTTGTGTCCTCCACGTGACGCTGAGCAGAATCAGATTTTCCTTTTAGTCAGTTCGATCAAATTTTCCTTCCTAGAGCTTACAAGGCACACTTGGGACCTTGTAGTAATTGCCTCCCAACGCTGAACTGCTGATACCTTTATTGGATTGGCGTACTGTTTCAGAGGCCTGTGTTTAACGTGCAGCGAGCCACAGCAATGCAAACACCTCTAGTGTTTAAACAAGCATCCATTAGGGCCAGGAAACATGGCGGTGCCAGGCTATTATGTGCTCTTTCAGCATTTTAACCCTTTGTAAAATATAAAAGATCTTTTTTTATAAGACCGTAATGCTGTTAACTTCCTGTTGTGAGCAGTTTCATTGGAAATCATCAGGGTGCACAGTACCATTTCCCACCTGCTGCTGAAAACAAAGCCATGAGTGCATGTGGCTGCTGACTGTCTTTTCTAAGCAGATGCTCCAACTGAAAACGGTGGCTGTAGAGATGTGCTGTATCTATATAGATAGACATATTATTGTCCACGGATTAATTGAGTTATAGCTCATTTCATGTTCTTGAAAGGACATGATGTTATGTATATCGTCTTATTTTGTGTCAGCTATTGGTTGTAAATAGAGAATTACCAATGGAGAGATAAATTGTTAACAATTATGTCACCTTTTAAAAGGGTTTGTTTTTGCAATGATTACTTTGCCTTGTCGTTGTGTATAAGATATATATATATATTTTTTTTTTTTTTCTTGCTGATATCTGGCTGATCATGTAAAATGTTATACTGTGCTCATTTATCAACATGTCTATGAAAAAAAAACCTATGTTGTTCATAGCAACAACGTAATCTTTCCCTCTAATTTTCTTTAACTTTCAGTGACATTTAAAGCACAGCTACAGTCTAAGCTAAAAAAAAAATCAGCAGCTATAAAAACTATAGCTGCTAACTTTTAAAAAAACAGCCACTCACCTGTCCCACGATCCAGCGGTGTACTCACTCCAGCCAGTTTCACAGGCCGTCCTCCCTCCCTGGCACCGGCATCTTTAGTGTGGGCACCCAGCTGTGACAGCTTGCAACCTCACAGCTAGGTTCCCACTGGGCATGGGCGAGAAGTGTTGCACTTTATGAATGGTCCCGTAGTCTTCTGGGACCCGTCATGTGTCCCAGAATACTACAGGGAGGGAGGAGGGGAGGGACAACTTACTCTTCTGATCGTCTAAGTGATTGTGGCAGAAGTGGGAGCAGGTACCTCTCAAAACCGGGTACCCGCCCCCCCCCTCCTTGCACAGGGAGCTGGGGACCAGTATTTAAAGCGTAAATCTGGGTGGAGCTCTGCTTTAAGGCAATCATTTTTTTAAGCAAAAAAGAATATATACTTACCTGCTCTTCTCTGTGCATTGATATTGTACAGAAAGGTCCCTTTCAACCACTTTTCACAGCCCCTTCTGCCAGCCCTGTCAGTTCCTCCCTCCTATCTTTTTCAAACTATGCTTGAACATTGTCTTTCCTAACAAATGATTAAAGATCTAGAACCTGGGTTTCTGCATCATGTGTTAATGGGGGGAAACTCAGAATAGCCCATCTTTGTCAATGAGGTCAGAGTTTCTGAGGCCTGCTCCAAACAAACACCTAAAAAGGTAAGAAATATATACAGTATATATAAACATTTTAGGTATGCTATGTGAATGGGAACACACAACAAATATATAGTGGGATTTTCTCAAATATGACTTCAAAAGTGGAAATACTGTATACTTTAAAGAGAAGCTTCAATAATTTTTGTAGCTGCTGACATTTAATAAACAAACACTCACCTGTCCCTCGATCCAGCGATGTGCTCGCCTGAGCCGTTCCTTCCCTAGGTCTTCTGTCCTCGGCATCTAAACTGTGGGCACCCGGCTGTGACAGCTTGTGGCTACACAGCTGGGTGCCCACTGTGCATGCGCAAGCCACACTGTTTGTTGTCATTGGTCCTGCAGTCTTCTGGGACCTGTCACATGTCCCAGAAGCCTGCAGGGAGGGAGGGGTGGAGGACAACTTCTGCTTTTGATCGCCTAAGCCTGATTTGACAGGTACCCACTCCCCCCCCTCCAAAAAAAAGTACCATTTGGTGAAAAGGAGGGGGGAAGGCCTTGAAAGCGAAATTTCCCCTTTTGGGTGGAACTCTGCTTTAAAGACCTTGCAAGTACAGAAAAATAAATTTTGATCTGCCAGAAATTACCTTAGCTCTTATGCCCCGTTGTGGGCTGACAACATACACTTTATTGCCAAAAGTACTGGGACACCCCTCCAAATTATTGGATTCAGGTGTTCCAATCACCTCCATGACCACAAGTGTATAAAATCAAGCACCTAGGCAAGCAGGCTTCTACAAACATTTGTGAAAGAATGGGTGCTCAAGAGCTCAGTAAACTCAAGCGTGGTACCGTGATAGGTTGCCACCTGTGCAATAAGTCCATCTGTGAAATTTCCTTGCTGCTAAATATTCCACGGTCAACTGTTAGGGGTATTATAACAAAGTGGAAGCAACTGGGAACAACAGCAAATCAGCCACAAAGTGGTAGGCCATATGAAATGACAGTGGGATCAACGCATGCAGCACACAGTGCGCAGAAGTCGCCAACTGTCTGCAGAGTCAATAGCTAATGACCTCCAAACTTCGTGTGGTCTTCAGATTAACACAATAACAGTGCATAGAGAGCTTCATGGAATGGGTTTCCATGGCTGAGCAGCTGCATCCAAGCCTTACATCATCAAGTGCAATGCAATGTGCCAGATGCAGTGGTTTAAAGCATGCTACCACTGGACTCTAGAACAGTGGAGATGTGTTCTCTGGAGTGATGACTCATGCTTCTCTTTCTGGCAATCTGGTGGACGTGTCTGGGTTTGGTGGTTGATAGGATAATGGTACTTATCTGACTGCATTGTGCCAAGTGTAAAGTTTGGTGGAGGGGGGATCATGGTGTGGGGTTGTTTCTCAGGGGTTGGGCTTGGCCCCTTATTTCCAGTGAAGGGAACTCTTAAGGCATCAGCATACCAAGACATTTTTGGACAATTTCATGCTTTGTGGGAACACTTTGGGGATGGCCCCTTCCTGTTCCAACATGACTGCACACCAGTGCACAAAGCAAGGTCCATAAATACATGGATGAGCAAGTTTGGGGTGGAGGAACTTGACTGGCCTGCACAGAGTCCTGACCTCAACCTGACAGAACACCTTTGGGATGAATTAAAGCGAAGACTGCGAGCCAGGCCTTTTCGTCCGATATCAGTGCCTGACCTCACAAATGAGCTTCTGGAAGAATGGTCAAACATTCCCATAGACACACTCCTAAACCTTGTGGACTGCCTTCCCAGAAGAATTGAAGCTGTGATAGCTGCAAAGGGTGAGCCAACTCAATATTGAACCCTACGGACTACGGACTAAGACTGGGATGCCATTAAAATTAATTTGCGTGTAAACGCAGGCGTCCCAATACCTTTGGCAATATAGTGTATGAGTAGTGTAGGTCCTTCTGTTGTCTTGTGCGGAACTACGCAAAACCTCTTATTCTCAGATGTCCACAAAAAAAATACTATTTTGTTGTCCAAGACAAGAAATAAGTGGGGTATGCTAGGTACACACAGAGAGATGTTTTTCTTTTTCGTACAACGAACATGGGCTGAACATAAAAAAATGAGAGGTCGTCATACTAAGAGATGATAATGCAGAGATCTCCCCTGCTAAGCTACTGTGTTCTGACAGGGGGACTGCCCCCCCCCCCAAAAAAAAAAACAAACACTGCCATTGGCTGCATTTCCTGACTGGATGCCTATTTGGCTTCTTTTGGACAGGCTGCTGTCCACACAAGCTGAATGTGACTGGTTTCTGCTGAACTGGCCGATACCTGCCGATATTCAACTCGTGTATGCCAGCTTTTAAAAGTGCATTCACACCTGCACATGCACCCAATGCCAATTACATGCATAAACCCCAGTGAGGGTTCCAGCAATAAGCTGCAGGAGCCAGCCCCATTAAAAGTAGTGGTAGGGTACCAGCTCCCACAGGTAATCACAGCCACTCTAAAGTAATCGCTCATACAGTCATCACATGACAGTGCTCAAACCTGGGCGCAGACTGCCTGCTTCCAGGGCCAAACACTCACATATGGTTGCTGCATGAGCAATGAAATGCTAGTGGCTGCGACTACCTGTGGGAGACAGCAACCTCCCATTGATTTCAATGGGGCTGCCTACTGCAGCTAATCATTGGGAACCTCCGCTGGGGTTTTTGCATGTAATTGGCATCAGGTGCAAAGGCAGAACATAAGAAAAGTTCATTGTTAAGAGTTTAAATACGATTTAAAGCATTTTGACAGTTTTGGCATTTAAGAGGCCCTGAATGCTCATTCAGTTCTGAGACAATCATCGCCTCATGCAGATTGATAAATAAAGACAAATAACATAGAATAAAGACAAATACATGCACACTGTGGACTTGTGGGTATTACTGGTTATTGTTATTGAAAAAGGTAAGCGAACTTGAGCAAAATGTTCTTTACTTACAAAATGGAAATCTATATTATAAAACACTGATTCGGGGTATAATACCAACTATACATACCTTACACTAGTGCCATAACACCCCCCCCACCCCCCCCCATCCCATCACACACAAGTGATATTTCAGAACAGTGTTCATTTCTGACTGATTGGAACAGGTTTCAGGAAGCAGAGAGACTACAATAATGTGAATAATCAAGTTTCTTTTGGCAGAAATGAGACATGAAAAGTGATACTTTTTTCCTACTATATTTCTTCTCATTTATTTGCCAAGTATGCCATCAGCAAACTTCACAAAAACGAGCCAAGCAGAACAATCTGTGTTTAAATCACAGAAATTCTCAGTTAATATTGCATTTATATTTGTGTTATTGTCTTGTGCAACCGGCAAACATGATGAGTGTTCTGGATGTTGTTCAATTAGGAATCAGTAACAGCATATTAAAGAACATTTTTTCCACTGTCATCTATCTTGCCTATATGTATGGTTTAATTCCACCGAGTGCTTCAACATTGAAATAAAATATGTCAATAATCTTAAGAAATGTTCACCTGAAGCGTGAAAAATAATTAGCTCCAAAGGGGCTTCAGCATTTTTTCATTGGCTTTTGGAATCTGATATTTTAACAGTTCGCTCGACTCAAATCTTCCAGAATAATCATGCTTAACAAGGAGAAATGTAATTTTATTTTAACCTGTTTTATTTATAATTTATTTCTAAAGGTTACAACATTTGCCCAGTTACAAACAGTAAAAAATAATATAAGGTTCTGTGCTGACCAAAAACTTGTTAGAGTAGGATGAGGCCTCAGCTCTATTTCATATAATACATATGAATACATAAAATACTTGCTACTAAATCTTGGGTGTGTAAGTTAGTAAAAAGTTTGCCAAAATTTTTAACTAGGAGTGATATTGTGTCAATGGCAAAAAACAACAATGGCTCCAGATTCCTTGTTTAAACTGTGGTCTCCCAAGGACATCTGATATGATGGAAGGAACTCCATTGTATTTGGGCATAAAAATGGCAAGTACTAGAGCTGTATTTAGTTATTGTGCTGCCTAAGCAATACTGAATGACGTCTCTCTTTTCTACAGGCTTCTTGCATCCTTAAATAAAAACCATCTTCTGATTCCTCTTTACGTCCCTCCATCCCCTTATCGCTAAGGATCTGTAGCTGAATTCTGCCACAAATGTCCACAGGTGGACAAAGAATGGAAATAAAAAAAAGAAAGAAAAAGCATTTGCACATTACAAGACTTCTCTAACATGTATGTACAAGGCAGCAGTCCACAGGTGGCACTATAAAAATACTCTCAGGTAGGTACTAAGACATGGGTGTATTACATAAGGGCATTACAGATAGCACCTGAGACTTGGCTTACCTTTTACTTTTTTGCAAGCAATGTATGAATAAATAGCCTATGCAATGGTATGGGGGAATCCTCCAATATAGTCAACGAACAAACACAAGGCTACATTCAATGGTGTGTAAAATATCCACAATGGCTAAAATTTAGTCTAGGCTTGGTTCACACTAATCCCATTTTGCAGGCTGTGGCATGGCAGCCCTTTCATCTGAATGGGCTGCAGTGCTTTGCAAAACACAGGGAAGGTCCCTGCATCTTTCCAGAAATCGCAGCCTGTACTAGAGTGTGATTTCCAGTGAGGGCAGCATGAAATTAGGATTAATGGTACCTGCCCATGGGTCCTGCGTTTTGTGTGCTGGTGGCTGCAGCTGTGGGACAAAGTGCGGGTTCCACAGCAGCTTCCACCTGCACTATTGTGAACCGAAGCTTAATGGAGCCTTAACCCAGTGGGGTTGACTACTGAAGCAGTATGAATTTTCACATTGCAAAGTGAATGTTAGTAAAGGTGTTCACTCTGAATACCAAATCATACGTGAGGAAAATGAAGAAACACTGGTTACTCAAAGTGACTACAGCTTTGCCTTATCTCAACAGCCTATATTTCTTTAGTAAATGAACCCAATCTTTTGGTGCTGAATGGCTTAACAGCAGCCTATGCTAGTATGAGTAGTGCCATTTGCCTCCAAGCTCCTGTGCCCTCTCCACCTTGCACTTGTTTTTTTGCCTTCCTCTGATCAACTGTGGGTATAGGATTACAACTTTTTTTTTTTTTTTTGATGGTGGAACTGGATGGACTTTTATCTTTTTTCATCCAGACTAAATGTAACTACTATTCTACCACAAAGCATTGTGGGTTGATTTACTAAAACTGGAGACTGGAAAATCTGATGCAGCTTTGAACATAAACCAATCAACTTCCAGTTTTTTTTGTCAAAGCTTAATTGAACAAGCTGAAGTTAGAAGCTGATTGGCTACAATGCACAGCTGCACAAGATGTTGCACTCTCCAGTTGTTGTAAATCAATCCCATTGTGTTCTGTGAATGGGCGATGAAAATTCTGCCATCAGTTCCTCCTCCATTTACAGAACAAAATGCATTGTATGCAGTATGAGGTCTCTGAATGGTGGATGCGGCACAGCTCTTCACATGTGGCTGCTATTTAGTAGCCGCTCCAGACAATACGCAGTGTCTGTCAAAGCAGCATGGATGGCAGTCTGCAGGCCATGGAACACATGCCATGACATGTAACTTATGATGTAACTTGCGTGTTTGGTGCTGTATCACTACCAAAAATGGCTAAACTGATGAGCATTTTGTAAGTAAAACAGATTTCTTAACCGTTGACTTTTTTGATTTTGTTGATGGCAAAACTGTATCCACTAAAGTTTATCATAATGAGAAACCAATATTTTTGGTGCAAAATTTTATATAATAGGTTCCCTGTAGCAGTCCATGAGGTTCTTCTTATGCTTTCTAATATTAAAAGGGTAATTTGCTGTGGGCAAACCTGATAGTTACTGCTCTGATATATAAGCAATATATTTTCATAACAATTTTGCAATTCAGACATCAGCCATTGAATCATGAATCCAAATCTCATCCATACAGCACTATTCAGTACATAAAATACCATATACAAAGACACACCAAGTCCATAAAGTGTATTGGTATCCCTCCTGGACAATTCTAAAAAAGCCATTTTTGACTCCTATGCTGCATGCAGGGGTCAAACATTTCCAAGGGGACACAGAGCACTTTCAAGCACATGATCAATTTATGAATTAAGTTGTGCACTGAACACCTTACAGTGAAAAATCAACAGAAAAACTG